CGGCGGGCGCACTCTCGCCCACCGGACCTGGCTCGCCGCTGGGAGAGCGCCATGGACGGACCGGACTGTTTGCTGCGTCGCTCAGCCGCGCGCACTCGGTCACGGACATGGCGTCGATCGAATCGAGTCTGCTCGTCGCACCCACCCGTACGCCATCCAGGCAAGGCTCGCCCGCTCCCCACCTGAGTCCCATGTCGGAGCTTCGCCCCTCCTCCAACGCACACGATGCCTAGAGCATTCGCACCGTAATGCCCCTACCCTTTTCCTCTTTCTCAACATCAACGGACAATTTTCCGGCATCGGCTTCTATTCGCTTTCGCTCCTTCTGCGCATTTCCTCGGCTGCCTTTCGCTTTCTCTGTCACTGGTTTTTTCTCTCTTATGTCTGTCACGTCCAACTTTGCGTCCATTTGACGCCGCAATTGCAACCGCCACCTACGTCGTTTGCATCATGCACTTCTTTTTGCCGATGGCTGTGCAGCCGCAGAGTTTTGGATGAATGCTGGATTTTGGGATTGATGCTGAGCTGCATGGGACCGGGGAAGGGAAAGGGTGTTTTACAGAGGGAGCGAGCCGCTGGAAGGCTTGGGGGAGGTATGCATTTTGTTTCGGAAAGGCAAAAGTTAGACGGCCATGTTCCGGATGCCGTTGGCGGCTGTACCGGCATCGTCTTCGTCTTCCGAGATGCCTTGTTGTGCGTCGTCGTCCTGTCGGCCCTGTTCCCAGTCCTTGGTGATGTACTGGTTGAGGTCGAACTCTCCGTCGTCGTCGTCATCGTCGTCATCGACAAACATGTCGGGATTGAGCGAGAACATCTCCCTGCCGGACAGACCGGCCATCTTGTTGGCAGCCGCCTGAGCCTCCTTCTTCTTCTTGAGCATCTCTTGTTCGGCCGTCTTCTTGTCCATCCTCTCCTTCTTCCATTTGGCGAACGACTCGGCGGTGACGGGCGTGAGGTTGGATCCAAGCTTGTGGCGTTCCGTTTCAAGGAAGTCCTCGAGCGAGATCTCGTTGGCCTTTTCGAGCGCCTCGAGCTCCTTCTTTTGCGACTTGAGCACGAACCCTGGTGGCAGACGATGACGGTACATGCACTTTTCACCTCCGTTGGGACATTCCCAGAACCAGCCGTACTTGCCATCCTCGACGGCCTGCAGGAAGAACTTGCACACCTTGTCCGTGGTCGCGCGTGGGTTGCCGTGCTTGGACATGATGACGTCGTTGAGCTTGGCATCGTCCCACTTGTCCATGGTGTCGTTCTTCTTGTCCTCGTTCTCGTCGCGCATGTCGACGTACAGATCCTTCTTCTCCGTCTTGCGTCCGGCATCGTTGCTGTGGCCGTACTTGCACTTGGTGCCCTTGTCGCACCGCCCGGCCTTCCAAAAGGCACACGTGACCGTCTTGGGATCCACGCCAAACGGCACCTTGGGCTGCACTATCGCAAAGAGCGGATCCGCCGCAAGCTCCTTGGCCGCCTTGGCCGCCGCCTTCTTGTCGTCCTCCTTCTTCTTCTCCTTGGCAAGCTGCTCTTTGGTTTTGCCCGCCATCTTTTGCTGCTGCTGGATCTGCGCCACCGCCTTCTGCGCCTTGCCTCCCTTCTTGTTCTTCATACCGAACGTCTTGTCCACCGCCGTCTTGCTACCTCCCCCTCCCTTGTCCTTTCCCTTCGGCGGCATGCTGGGCAATGCTGTGTTGGTTGAGCTTCGAGATATACTTTGCTTTTGAAGCGTGTTCGAGTCGAACCAGAAGCGAACAGCGACCTTTGCAAAGTTGTCCTGTTCGAACGTCGGCGGGCAGCGGCTTCGGGATACGCAGCTGAAAAAAGCGTTACTGGATCCGGCTGTTGTGCAAAGTGTGACCAAGCTTGAGCTGGGTGGTTCGTTTTGGTGCGCCTCTGATTCTAGCAGCGTTTTTTTTATGCTGCGTGCGCGTGCTCGTCGATGTCGGTGTTAGGGAAACGTAGGAGTGTCGAGGGCGTTGATGATGGCGAGAAGGAATGGCTCGTTAGGAAGGCATGGAAGACGGAGGAAAGCGTTCAAAATTCCCCAAAGTCGTGTGCCTCAGCGATTTGCAGTTTGTATTCAGACTGTATTCGAGCTGCTCTTCCGCCTGTTGCTCCACTTCAAAATTTTGCTATTCAGGCTGGCTTCATCGGGGCAACACCCCGATTCCTTGCCTTCGTCATCCTGCATCTTCGCGTTGCTGGACGTCCTCTGCTAGCGTGCCGACCTCAACATCTTCATCCTGTCCAGCTCCTCATGGCCTCCTCGCTTCGAGATGATTGAAACGACGAGCAGACTAAACATCCGTGATGGCGTAGACGCAGCTCATTGATGCGACATTGGTTCAAAGTTGAGCCTGTGCGGTGGCGTTGTTCTGTACAGAGGCGGCAAGCGGGTGTGGGTGCGGGTGCGGGAACGGGAACGAAGAGAAAAGCATGAGCAAAGGGGGAACGACGGAGACTACAACCAGCTTAACATGATTTGAACTCACCCACGGCGTGTCTGACGAGCTGTACTGCTGAAGCGGTCGATGGTAGACGATCGGACGGAGCGACTCTGCTTCCACACCGAAGCGCTCAACCTCTGAAGCGTAGATAGGCAACACCACGCCACTGTCCAATACATCCAATAGCGTGTTCGGAACAAGGCAGAGTCAGCTAACGCTTCGTAGCCCAGTTGATAGGGGTGACAAGACTTACAGCTCCCAATTGAGTGTGCTCATGGTCGGCTTCGCCGCGGTCCCGCTGATGTTGCCGTTTGCAGCGCGTGTGAAGTTGGAGCTGCCCATGTACGTCCATCCGATAGGTCGCTCTTCTTCATTTGGCGACCAGCTCGTGTTCTCGGGGAGTTCAACGAGCGCATTGGTACCCCTGGTGAGCTGTGCCTCCGAAGCGTCGTGAAAGGCTTTGTTGACCAGCTCTGCCCCTTTTGTAGTGAGCGCCAGGATCGACTTGGCATGAATCATGACGTCGCCTCTGCGGCTCTGAGGGCTAAAGTAAAGCTTCTTGATACTATCCACACAAAGACGAATCGAAGGTCAGAGTCTGCATGAATCTCGGATCGAGTGCAGAAGATACTCACGGTGATGCTGCAAACGTTTCTGCCTTGCCGAAAAAGCTCATTGCTCCGAGTGGCCCTTCGACCGTTGTTTCCTCGACGTACCTCTGACTTGGAAAGCAGATCTTGATGGGTGGCAGTGATCCTGACTTGCTGCCGGCTGCTTTGAAATATTCCGGGTGCGGGTCGTTCGTCTTGCCCTTGAAGGGAAGCAGGCCGCGTGGATTGAAACCAGATGCGAGCAGATGGAAGTGCTCAATCCACTTGATGTCGTGGTTCGCCAGTGACGAGCCCTGACATTCTAGCTGCAGCGATCCTGACCGCTTGGGCTGGATTCCGAGGTCTCGAACGACCTTGCCGAGCCTGCCGAGGCCCTGTGTCTCCATGCGGTCCCACTCAGCGAGGTTCGACGCTTCGGGCCAGCTGGCGACGATTCGAGCACGTGTCGCCTGCGAGAAGTCGTGACGATCAAGAGCAGCATAGACCGGGTGCGAGCTTGGCATACCGAGCGAGCGCAAGATACGCACAAGTTGCGCCTTGAAATCATTGGTGCGGCCCTGGCTCGAGCCGTGAGCAGGTGTGGCTGCCTTTGCGGTGTCTGTGTTGAGCGGGAAGTCCTGGATGTATGCGGTGTTCTCGATCCTTTCCCAGTCGATCCCGTTCAAGTTGCCCGAAAGAATCGCAACACGCAGAAAGTCTGGGTGGACCAGGATGAGGAACTTCATGTGCTGTGTGAGCCATCCTCCCTTGGGCTTGCTTGGGACGCAGATCTGCCATCCTGGACACCGGGCAAAGTCGCCAAAGATCTCGCTGCGATGCAGACCTGGCCGCGCTACCGAGGGATCGGTACGATAGTCCTCCTTCGGCGGTGGGAGGATCAAAGTGACAGGAAGGCCCTTCGGAAAGAGAGAGTAGAGCCAGTCCATGCGAAGATCGTAGGTCGCTAGCACAGCGAGCTGTAAGCCGTGACGGCTGGATGCCGTTGCCGGAAGCAACATCTGCGAGATTGTGACGCCCGAGGCGGCCTTGTCGGCGTATGCGTTGAAGCCATGCTTGATAGTGCCTCTCCAAAAGCGGCTTTGAGGCTTGATTGGGTCTGTGGCGCGAGAGAACTTCGAGCCAGAGCTACTTGGGGTGGCAGGAGCAGTTCGGATGCCCATCGGCTGCGGAGTGGGTTGCGCTTCATTCGTTGCTCTGGCTTCCTCTGACCAGAGCGCTGGTTTCGCTCGACTATCTGCGTGCGTTTCAATTTGCTTTGTGCGCTTGGCGCTTGTCTCAGCCTCTTCCTCATCGCTGGAAGTGCTCGGTAAATTCTGCTGCTGCTTCCTCTTGCGAGCGCGCTCCTTACGCTCGAGCTCGAGCTGGCGACGGTCTGGGAGCAGGCTCAGCAGACCCGTCGCCGAAGTCGCCGCGTTGGTGTAAGGTCCGCTTTCCGACAGTGCTTCATGCGATGTTGAGGCGGTAGGTTCTTCAGCTGCGGGTGGTTCCTTTGCAAGTTGCGGAGCAGGCGGTCTCGACGTCGACGCAGCTTTCGATTTCGTCTGCGATGTTTCTTGCACCCTCGGTCGCTCGGACTCGCTAAGCGTATCCGAATCGGAGTCGGATATGACGATGGGCTCTCCGCGAGTCATGATCGCCTCTTTCGGGAAGATGGTGGTGGGTGAGGTGGATGAAGGAGAAGAGAAGGCGAGTCGTATGAGGTTGCGGGATCGAAGCCACCGCTTCCGCACAAAGCATTCTTCAGCCAGGGTCTCGACTGCGCCTCCACACCGCAAAATCACAGAATGGACCCTGCTCCTCCACCTTTGTCGCCGGACAAAATGCCGGTCCATCGACCCTCTCAACTTTTTTGCCGTTTCTTCTCAACTTGATCATTCCCTTTTGACGCTTTCGTCTCGTTCATACGGCACCCACAAACATACCTCGGCATGACTAGCGACCAAGCGCTTCTGCGCTGGCTCGCAGCGAGCGGCGTAGAACTGCACTATAGTCTCTATCTGGAGCAAGATCCATCGACGGGCCTCTCGTTCTACACGGCCGAGCCGCTTGCGCGCGATACGACGGTGATCCGAGTTCCAAAGGGTCTCTGCATCACTTCTGTCACTGCTCGCGAGAGAATCGAGGCTCTTCTTGCAGCGTTCGGCATTTCCGACAGCGGCCTCGAAGCGTCATCCCTCCCGGCCCCCGACTGGATCTTGCTGTACATTGCGACGTGCCGACTGGCAACCGAGTATCTCTCGACAGCATCTGAGCCGTCGGAAGTCTTGGCGGCGGCGCTGCCGCATCTGCCCTACGTGGATCACATCCCCAAGATCATCGAGACGCCGCTGCACTTCTCTCCAGCCGAGTTGACGCTGCTCTCGGCAACGCCGCTCGTCGGATCGACCGAAAGGCGTCTGCGCGAAACCATCGTCGACTACGAGAGAGCACGTTCCCTTCTCGAAGATCCTCTGCAGCAGGCATTGCATCAACCCTTTGCGGCTTTTCTGGCGACCAAGCTTGGCAGCATCCCGAAAGATCAGCTCGATGCGGACGCGCTGATGGCCAAGACGTATCACAAAGGGCTGGAGCTGTGGCGCTGGGCCGAGTCAGCGTTCACTTCGCGTTCCTTTCCCGCCCGACTTGTCGGCCTTTCCGATGGACTATCAGAGGCATCGAGCGGCGCATCCCCGTTGGCCAAGTCAGCACCCATCCTCATCCCGGCCTACGATACCTTCAACCACGCGCGCGCACATCCCGTCACATGGACCTTCTCCTCCGCATCCCAGGTCGACTCGAGAGACATGGTGTGCATGACGATCAACTATGCGGTGGATTCAGCGCCAGCTCAGGTGTACAACAACTACGGCGGGAAATCGAACGAGGAACTGCTTGCAGGGTACGGCTTTACGCTCGACACGATCACCGAGGACACACTTGCACTCAAGATCGGGTCGGACGATCCGAACGCCGAGGCAAAGACGCACTACTGGGCTGTACCTTCCGCCAGCACCAAAAGTGAGAACGACGACTCGACATCGACATCGACAAGCAGATCAGAGCTATTCACGCGGGCGTTGTGTCCATGTCCTTCGCTACTGGCCGAGATCGAGACGCGCGTGCTGCGAGGCGAAGCAGCCCCTACTTCGGATGAGGACCGATTGGATCTGTACGGCAGCGTGCTCGAGACGCTCGAGGCACTACTGCTGTCCAAGCGCAAGGCCTTCCGCGCGAGCCAGAAGCAGATCGAGGCTCTGCAAAGCACGTTTCCACTGCAGACTGCCAACTGCGAATCACCGGGCTGGCACAGGTCTTCAGCAGCGGCCGATCCAAGCCAGCCATCCTCCTTGCGCCCTTCCGTTTGGCACAACGCCATGCAGTACCGCGCCGGCCAGCTTCACCTGCTCAACCATGCCGTCGAATGGACACGCACCGAGCTCGCAAGAGTCGCCGACGCGCTCGACGATCTCGAGTAACGCTTTGACACTCACACGAATCTCTGCCAGCAGCAGTCTCGAACCAATACGGACGACATGAAATAGTATTACAGAATGGCCACCTTCGCCGGTTCGAGATCGTCTAGTCAAAAGAGGGCACCACGTCGGTGAGATGCTCCACCTGCTCGGTCTTCTCTGCCGCCATCTGTGCCCTGTGCGAGCGTTCGGGCTCGGAGCGCTGGATGTTCTCCGCCACCTTCTTTGCATTGTCTTCGTCGCCCAACCTGGCCGCCAGGGCGAGGGCGCTTCCGGATGAGCTCGAGCTTCGCATCGGCGGTGGATGAGCCTCGAAGCCATTCGCGAGCTGCTTGGCCTGAGTCTCGGATAGGGGTGAGATGACGCTCTGGCGAGAGATGGAGAGCTGGTCGTGATCGAGCGATCGGAAGGGCGGCGACATGACCTTTTCCTCCACCGTCACGTTGGCCTCAGCCTGAGCCACTGGTGACGTGCCGGCGAGCACCGAGCTGCGCTTGAACCAGCCAAATCCCTTGAAGCCGCTGCCCGCGCCCTCGTCCGCCATGGGCTGTGGGGAGGCGATGCTGTCCGCGGCAGGTGCTTGCGACTGCGACGACGACGGTGCGGCGGAAGGCTCGTTTGGCGTGGTGCCTGTACGGCCGAGCAAGTTGCTGAATCCGGCAAAACCGGATGCCAATGACTTCTGAGGCGCAGAACCACCAGATGCCGCGCCGCGCGGCGACGAATGCACGGATCCGCTGGCATCGATCTCCGAGGAGGGCGTGGTGCCTGGCATGCCTGACCGCGCTTCGTCCGAGGGCGTCGGGCCGTTGGACGCGCTGGCACCGCCTGTGCTCGAAGACGTCGCTTTGCGCATGAGCGTGGGTAGCTTCATGCTCCAACCCGCTGTTGCTGTCTTCTGGGGACTCGAGCTGGCTTTGACATGGGCTGCCTCCTCGGCATCATCGATGTTGTCCGTCGGCAATGGCGGCAGCTTGACGCCCTTGAGCAGACCTGTGCCGAAACTGGCGCGCTGCACGATGCGGTCGGCATCGTCGCCCATCTGAGCGTTGGCATCCGCCTCGGCATCGTGGTTGGCGATAAAGTCGCGCAGTGCCTTGAGACATGCCTCGCTCGCTTTTCTTGCCTCGAGCGCTTCGTCCATGGACAGCCGCATCTCGGCCATCTCTCGGCTGAGACGCTCGATCTCCACCTCCTTGGCGCGCAGCTCGCGATCGTACATCGACGACTCCCTGGCGGGCAAGTTCGGCAGCGCCTTGCTGGCAACGGCAGCAGACAGGCTAGGACCAGCCTCCTCCTCCTCGTTGTCCTCGATGATGGGCGATCCGATACCCGCCGAGCTGGCTGCGCCCTGCGACAGGGCAGGCGAGCTGAGGAGCGACGTGCGCGGTGCACCGAGACCTGCACCGGGCACGGAAAGACGCGCGCCGAGCGAGGAGGCCATGTCGGTCGTCTCCTGAGCAGGCAAGTCGTTGGGCCCGATTCTGGGTGACTTTCCACTGTCGCTGCGGAAGGAGCTGCGGCGCGAATTGGGCGCCGAGCCACTGTCGTCTGCAGTGGTGGTGACGGGAAGGAGAAGCGAGTTGGATGTGCCGTTGGTGCCAGCTGTACCCGACAGTCGAAGGCCGCGGAGGCCGTTGGCGAAGGTAGGGCTCAGAGGCTCCTCGACGTCTTCTCCGTCGCCCTTTGAAGCTCCCGAGACGCTGCGGCCGCCGCTGGCGGTACGACGGTGGCCGAAGCCCTGGCTGCTGCCGGGACGGGAGGCGAGGTTGAGCGCATTGGGGCCAAAGGCGAGACTTGCGCGCTTGGACTTCCTGAGCTCGGCCTCTTCGTTCTCGTCTCGGACTGGCGGAGGGTTGGTGGCGGCGGGAATCCAGCTGCGGCGATTGTCGACCTTGGCCTTTGTGCGCGCATCGGACTGCTCTCCTTGGAGGCGCATGATGGCACGTCGACTCTCCTCGGCTCGGATGCGGAGGTCTTTGACGCGATCCGATTCGGCTTCTCTTGCTTGCTTTTCGGCTTGGAGCTCCTGCTCGAGATGCGGCACACGCAGTCGGAGCGTTTCCAGCTCGTCCTGCCACTCTGCGGATCGCTGCAGCACGACAGAGTGGGAGGCCTTGACCTCGTCGACTTCCTCCTTGAGCTTTGCGAGAAGCTGATCCTTTTTGGCGATCTCGATGCGCATGGTGCCGACGATGGCTTTGAGCGCGGTGGCGTCATCTGGAAGATCGGTGTAGAGAGACTCGAGGTGGTCCGGAGTGAGACCCTCTTTCATCATGTCCTCTTTGGCAGAGCGAGCCTGCGAGGAGAGGTGGGAAGCCGCGACGGAAGCGACTTCGTCTTTCTCCGACATGATTGCGTTGCAGGCACGAGCCAGGAAGCGAGTTCGACGAGCGTTGGATCCACGATTTCAGCCGAGCAGGCGCGTTGTGTGGCAAGGTCGTTGAGTTTGATGACGTCCGCAGGCAGCTTTATAAGGCAGAAGAAGTGGATGCTACGTCTCGAAAGCTATCAAAGGGCCGAAGGGGATCCGGTGCAGAGTGCAGGTTGCAAACGTCCCGTGGCAAGGCGGCCCGCGTCCGTTCGGCTGACAGATGATGTCGGTAGGGAAGCGTGACCGCTCGTAAGATCTGGCGGAGCGAGGGGTGGTGGGAGAAAGGGAAAGAAGTGACGAGGGGCAGATGAAGAAAGCGAAAGGAGATGAAAGGTGGTGACGTGGGTGGGTGAGAGGGAGGTCAGTGGCATCCCGGAAGCGGCATGGCTCTGCGGTGGTGTGGCTGGATGTCGGACGTACGCGCGGGCGGG